AAATCCATATTTTTGGCCTCAGAGGCCCTCAAGACGGCCCAAGAGGCCTCCCAGAAGGTCACCAAAAGGCAAAAACAGCCAAATTCCTTTCGGAAAACGTGCGTTTTCAGCATATTCGCTTCTTCGGTCCTAACAGCGCCCAAGACGGACCCAAAGGCCCCTAAGACGGCCGTAAGACGACCCAAGAGGCCCCCAAGAGGGCCCCAAGACGGCTCAAGAGAGCTCCAACACGGCCCATGAGAGCCCCCCGACGGCCCACGACGGTCCCCAGAGGTTCCCAAAAGAGTCCCCAGGGAGCCCCAAGAGGGCCACAGAAGGAACCCTGGACGGCCCAAGAGGGCCCCAAGACGGCCCAAGCGCCCAAGACGGTCCAAGAGGGCCCCGGGACGGGCCAAGAGGGCCCCAAAGAGCCCCAAAGAGCCCAAAAGGACCCCCAAGAAGGTCCCAAGAAGCCCCCAGAGACTCCCAAAACGCTCCCAAAACGGTCCCCGGAGGCTTCCCAGTAGTCACCCGTAAGCGTATGGGAGGTTTCGCTTCGACGTCCTGCACGAGGCTCCCAGAAAAGGCTTCAAGAGGCTCCCGATTCACGATCCATCTCAGGGCTTCAGAGGCCTCACAGAAACATGCCGCGTGGCCCACAGAAGCACCCAAGACGCCCCGAACTCACGATCCCGGTCAGGGGTGTATTCACTGCTATGGGCGGGGCGGCTGGATGCGAACGTTGGCTCTGGAACCGTCGGTGGAGCTCCCTGTTGATACGATTCGTGTGAGGAGACAGTCGACATACGCGTGGGGGGGGACGTCACGTTATGCGAATCCTCACACTAAGGCCGTACGTGAAACGACATCCCTCTGGGGCACGATTCGTGTGTTGGGTGTGCCGAGATGGGCGGAGCGACGCTGTGCGAACTTTGCCCCTGGACCCGAAAGAGGAGCTCCCAGGGGGACAAGATCCGTGTGAGTGCCGTGCCGAAATTGACGGGGGGGCGCCATGTGAACCCCGCCTTCATCTGGGTCCGTAGGTCTCGCTTCCATCCGCATGATCGGTATTTTTCCACTGGGCATTGTATTCCATTGCATTCCACTGGGCTGCTTTCCGTTGCCTGTGCAATTGCATTGTTTCGTGATCCACATTGCACTTATGAGCATCGCTTTCCTTTGCTTTGCATTGCATTCATAGCGTTGCATGTGTTTGGCTAAACTGGCTTGCATAGCTTCGAACTGAATACTGCAGAGGCCTTACTGCCGAAGCCGCCGACCCTGAACGACGACGGCGGCGACGACGACGACGACGACCAAGGGGGGTCGCTCCCCCCTGTGGAGGGGGGACTGGCCCGTGGGGGGGGGGGGCTCCCTCCTGTGAACAGGGGGAGCATGGGACGCTTGGAAGGGGGGGCAAAGCGGGGACGCTGGGGGGAAGGGAGGAGAGGCTCTCTCCCCCCGGTTCTTAGGGGGGCCCCCCCACCCTCCGCCACATATTCGGGATCGGCAAAACAATAGCAGGAGCCCCACGGGCCCCAGGGCACCCCCCGGGACCACCCCCCAGGACCACTCCCCGAGACCACCCGCCGGGACCACCCCCTGGGAGTTGCCCCGGGACCCCCCCCCCGCTGGGGAAGGGATCAAGGGAAGGTGCTTCCCTTCGTTGTTCGATTCGATTTCGTCTTGGCTGGATCGGTTGAGGAAGAGGGCCTGGGGAACGGGGGAAGATGGCGAGGGCGACGACGACGACGACAACGACGACGGCGACGGCGACAACGACACCGACGACGACAAACGGAAGAGCGCCTCACACACGCCGACAGGGTCGGCGGATTAAAGAGCATATGTCATTGTCGGTGCTTGGGTTCTGTTCGGCCAGCATTATGGATGCTTCTTGTACCTCATGCTTACACCATCAATTGGTAATCACTTCAGTGGATACGGGACCTCCTCAAGGGATGGGGTCGACTAGAACCTAAGCGCGTGGTACTAGAACCTAAGCGCGAATCGCGCGCGTGGTTCTAGTATGTTTATATATATATATATATATGTATATATGTATATATGTAGATGTATATATGTATATATACACATATATATATATATATATATATATATATATATATATACATTTGTATATATGTATCGTTTTCGAGAGGTCTGGGCCGGTCTGGAGTCGTGGCTCCATGTATAGCTCCTTGGGCTCCCCGAAAAGATCCACACAAGGCGGGGCTGATGGAGAGCATCCGCTGGCTCAGCTTCCAACATCGCCTTCTCAAAGCAGAAACGGGGCTTCCGCTTGCTTTCCTGAAGACGACGACGCCCCAAAGTGGGGGGGCTTCTGCGGCCCAACAAATCAACGAACCGACACCGAATGTGTAATCACTTTCGATGGTTTTTGTCGGGGGACACTTTTTAGATTTCGGGGCCTATCTGAGGACCGAATACGCCCGCGCTGCAGCGGGAGCACGATTTTGAACAACCAGAGGCGCAGAAATGGGGCCAGCGCTTCATCGGGAGTGACACAAAAAAAAACGCCCAAGCGACCGCCCGTTTCCTGGGAATCTTGTGTAACTTACCCTGTGACGTACCCAACCCATTTGTATCATGGGAAACGAGGAGTTGGCCGAAGCTTGCATTGACAATCGAATTGCAGGATCCGTTGTTTGATCTGTACGCTACTTGGGGCACGCGCCTATGGCATGATGCGCAGGAGAACCATACAAGAACGAGGGGCGACAACTACAGGCTCGAAGAGGACATGGGGAGTCGGGAACGAAGAGCAGGAGAAAGACGTGCGGGAAGCCCACTGTGCTGTGCCCCTTTCAACAGCCCTCGAAAGTGGCGACAGTTTCACAGATCGCAGCCCCCCCAGGGATGGCGAGGTCTAATCTGAGTCTGCGGTGAGTACCCACTGTGCTGTGCCCCTCGGCAGCCCTCGAAAGTGGCGACAGTCTCACAGATCGCAGCCCCCCAGGGATGGCAAGGTCTAGTCTGAGTCTGCGGTGAGTACCCACTGTGCTGTGCCCCTCAGCAGCGCTCGAACGTGGCGACAGTTTCACAGATCGCAGCCCCCCAGGGATGGCGAGGTCTAATCTGAGTCTGCGGTGAGTACCCACTGTGCTGTGCCCCTCAACAGCCTCCGAAAGTGGCGACAGTTTCACAGATCGCAGCCCCCCCAGGGATGGCGAGGTCTAGTCTGAGTCTGCGGTGAGTACCCACTGTGCTGTGTCCCTCAGCAGCCCTCGAAAGTGGCGACAATTTCGCAGATCGCAGCCCCCCAGGGACGGCGAGGTCTAATTTGAGTCTGCGGTGAGTACCCACTGTGCTGGGCACCTCAGCAGCATTCGAAAGTGGCGACAGTTTCACAAATCGCAGCCCCCCAGGGATGGCGAGGTCTAATTTGAGTCTGCGGTGAGTACCCACTGTGCTGTGCCCCTCAGCAGCCTTCGAAGGTGGCGACAGTTTCACATATCGCAGCTCCCCAGGGATGGCGAGGTCTAATCTGAGTCTGCGGTGAATACCCACTGTGCTGTGCCCCTCAGCAGCCTTCGAAAATGGCGACAGTTTCACAGATCGCAGCCCCCCAGGGGGGACGGCGAGGTCCCGTTCATGTCCGCGCGGTGCCTCACATTGCAGGCCTCCCCAGCAACCCTCGAAAGTGGCGACGGTCTCGCCGATCGCAGCCCCCAGGGACGGCGAGGTTCCGTTTGGGTCCGCGGTGGGTACCCTCTCCGCTGGCCTCCCCAGCAGCCCTCGAAAGTGGCGACAGTTTCGCAGATCGCAGCCCCCCAGGGACGGCGAGGTCCCGTTTGGGTCCGCGGTGGGTACCCTCTCCGCTGGCTTCCCCAGCAGCCTTCGAAAGTGGCGACAGTTTCGCAGATCGCAGCCCCCCTGGGACGGCGAGGTCCCGTTTGGGTCCGCGGTGGGTACCCTTTCCGCTGGCTTCCCCAGCAGCCCTCGAAAGTGGCGACATTTTCGCAAATCGCAGCCCCCCAGGGACGGCGAGGTCCCGTTTGGGTCCGCGGTGGGTGCCCTCTCCGCTGTGCCCCCCAGTAGCACTCGAAAGTGGCGACAGTTTCACAGATCGCAGCCCCCCAGGGACGGCGAGGTCCTGTTTGGGTCCGCGGTGGGTGCCCTTTCCGCTTGCCTCCCCAGCAGCCCTCGAAAGTGGCGACAATTTCGCAGATCGCAGGCCCCCAGGGATGGCGAGGTCAAAGGCAAGGGGGGAAGAGAGGGACGGGAGGGGTGGGAAGGAAGGTTCGCGCGAGCAGTGCTCTATTCAAAACGAGAACCCAACGCAGGATGGTTGGGAAAAAAACAGTACGCGGAGGGGGGAATCCTGTGTAACAAAAATCATGGTCAGGCCGCATCCTGGGAGAGGTCCGTGGAGTAGCGGTATCGGTGCCTTTTGTAAGTTTCTCCACCACAGGGTCTGGATCCGTTCCCCGGGGCGGGCTTCTCGTCCTGGATCGTTCTTTGATTGTTTTGGGGCCTCTTGGGGATCCCCAGGCGCCGAAAATTGTCACAAACCTTGCATCCTGCTTTCTATCCAGATCCCCGACATTGCCGTTTTTTTCATGACGTCGACCCCCAGAGGTCTGGACCCCTTCCCAGGAACCAGTTATTCCTTCTGACTCTTTTCTCGACGGTCCCGGGGGCCTGGCGAGGGCCCCCGGAGGTCGAAACGAACGAAAAACCTCCCGTCGTGATTTTTTCACAACGCGAGGGGGTCTGGGGCGGAATACATGTGGGGGCCCATGCCAAGAAACACCCTGCTTGCCTCCAGGGTGCCCTGGGTTTCTTGGGTTTAGATGGTTTTGCTGTGGAAAGCCTGACGCTCCCACGCAAAAAATCAATGGATGTCCTGGGATCTCAGGGTTGGGTTCCTTGTGAAAGGTCTCTTGTGGACTGGCCTCCGCTGTTGGAGGGAGGACGGGGCGGGGCAGGGCGGTGCCCGCACGCGTCCTGCGAGCCAGCCTAACATCCCCCCGGGGCGGAGGAGGGGCGCGGCCGAGGCTGTGCTCCTTCAACCTGGGCCGGCTGGTGCAGATCTGGGCCCACGTCCTGCGGGTGATCAGTGACGTGTGCATGTCCGAGGCCCGGCCGTCGCGGGGGGTCACTCCCAGGCCCAGACCTCCTCGCGCCGGGACAAAAATCACGCCCCCAGACATGATCGAGTCGTAAAGCATTCAGGGCGGGCGGTTTTTTACCATTTTCGGCCCCAGGGGGCCCTCGCCGGGCCCCGGGGCCGTCAAAAAACGACTCAGGACGGAAAGCCGGTCCTGGGGAAGGGTCAGGACTTCCAGGGACGCCGCCGTTAAAGATCAGGATTTCGCTTGTCTGGTCTCGCGTTGGGAGAAACTCGCGACGGGAATTAGTTTTTTGCTATGTTCGGCCTCCCCAGGCCCTCGCCGGGCTCTGGGAGCGTCCAAACAATGATTCAGGGCGGCAAGCCGGTCTCCGGGAGGGGGTCCGGGCTTGTGGGGGTCGACGGGGCGGAAATATCACGCCGTCGGGGTCTGGGGATGCGGGCGCCCTGCACCCCCACTTCCTATCGCTGCGAGGAATACATGACGGCGGTCGGTTTTGGCCGTCGTCGGTCCAGGATGAGGGTTCCTCAATTACGCCCCCAGGCCAAACGGTGGCAAAACCCTTGGTAACAACGTTGATTTTGGCTTGAGTGTGGCGTAGGGTCAGAGAGCACCTTCCTCTGCAGGACCACCAAGTAAGGGGTCGTCAAGGTGGTCAAACGCTTTGCCGGTCAAGCCGGCGAAAGTGTGCAAAATCAAGCCATTCGCTTATGTCCAAAGTTTTGGCTTGACGCGGGGTGTGGTGCATCAATTCAGCTTGACCGAACGGGTTGGTTGCGCCCCTTGACGTCCGTTTGTGGTGTTCTGCAGACTTGACCCTCCTCAAATTTTAGTTTTCTCGCCGAGGCCACGTGCAGATCTGGGGGCCTCTTGGGTGCCTCTTGGTGCCTCTCGGAGGTCTCTTGGAAGCTTCCTGGGGCATCTCGGGGGCCTTCCAGGGGCCTCTCGGGGCCTCGTGGGGGCATCATAGGGGCCGTTTTCGGCCACCCTTGGGAGCCTCCGGGGCTTCTTGGGTCCACCTTGCAGGAGATCGATCAAAGTAGGGGCCGTAGTACATTCGTCATTCCCCCCGAGGAGGCCAAAACGTGGCCAGCATCTCAGTTCAATCCATGATGTTGGCCTTCTCCCCAGGGCCTCTTGGGGCGTCTTGGATGCTTCCGGGTGGCCTCTCAGGGCATCTTGGGGGTCTGTTGAGAGCCTCTTCGGGATATCTTGGGGGTCCCTTGGGAGCCTTTGGGAGGCATCTTGAGGACCTCTTTGGGGCCTTTTGGCGCCTCCTGGGGGCATCTTTGGTCCGTCTTGGAGCGCTTGGAAGCCTCGGAGGCAATATTGGGGCAATCTTGTGGGAGATCGATCAAAGGAGGGGCCGTAATTCATTAGGCCTCCCCCCAGGATGCCAACATGTGGCAAAAACCGTTGTCACGTCAATGATTTTGGCGTTCTCGCCGAGGCCATCTTGTACGCTCTAACGCCTCGCGACCCCCCCCACCAGGCCCAGGGGAGTGGGATGAGGGGGGTAAGCCGTTCCCCCGAAGGGGGAGAAGGGGGGTTGGAAGAGGAAACGCTCTAAACCACTCACTCCCTAAAGGGCTGGTGGAATTGTGACGTGGGGAGTCTAGGATGGGGGGGGGGGGCGCGAAATCTGCTGCGTGCAGCTGGTTTTGGCTGCGCGGCTGGACGCGTCTCCCGACACGTGTGGCCGCCTCCGCTTCCCTGGGGGCGCCGAGAGACCCAGCCGGCGCGCGGCTGATTCATTGACCCGTCCTTCGGTTGTTCTCTACCCTTTCGCGCGTCCACCTCCAGCGGCGCCTTGGCAGACTGCAGAACTCCCGACGTGGCGCTGTCGTTTCACAGCCGTGGGCCCCCCCGAGGCCCAGACCCTTCTGTGGAACCAGCTTTTCACAGCAGGTCGTCCTTGGACGGTTCCTGGGCCTGGCTGGGGGGCCCCAGGGCCGAAGACGGCCAAGGGCGTTCCGCAGTGATGTTGGTCACGGCGCGCAGGCGTGTCTGCGTCCAGGTCCAAGAAGTACAACCCATGCCAAGAAACATCCTGCTCGCCTCCAGGGTGCCCCGGGTTTCTTGGGTGTCGATGGTTTTGCTATGGAAAGTGTGGCGTTCCCACAGAAGTCTATGGACGTCCTGGGGTCTCAGGGTCAGGTGTCTTGTGGAAGTTTGCTCGTGGTCGAGCTCCGACTAGAAGGATGAGCAACTTTCCAAGATTACCCGACATCCTTCCGCTTCGGCCCATCCTTGGCCGCTCTCGCAGGCCGCGCCCCGCCCGCAGAGTGTTGTGGCATGGCCCTCTGAGGCCCTTGCATCCTCACCGCGCGTCCTCATTAGACGGGTTGGCTGGAGGGGGAGGGGGGAAAGGGCTTCTCGAGAAGCACCCCTGCCTCTCCGAGAAGGTGCGGGCCCTGTCGGCAGATGCGGGGCCGGCGCCTTCCAGAAGAAGCAGCCTCCCTCCGAGAAGCCTCCCAGATCGGGGGCCTCCGCGGCAGGTTTCCGTGGTCGAGCCCCTGCAGTGCTGGCTCGAGCGGGCGGGCGGGCCGGGGCCGGGCGGGGGCCTCCCGCACATACAGAGCCTCGCGGCGGCGGCGGGGGCCCTGCGCTGCCCGAGGGGCCGCCTCGCCCCCCCGATGGCGAGTTTTGCGTCGAAGCGGCTCGCGCAGGAGCGCGCGGCCTTCAAGAAGGACCGAGCAGTGGCGAAGCGCCTTGGCTTGCCGAATTTGGGCCCACCAGAGAACGTTTCGGATGCAACTCCTGGAGGGTCCAGCTCTGATGTTGCCCTGCTCCGAAAGGCGGCTCAATCCCGCTTAATCCGGTTGAGTGCCGCTTAATCCGCTGCCTAAACCGGCGTAGCAGCCCCCAATGGGGCTTAATCCTCCTTAGTCTTTCCGACGAAGACCTCCCAGCAGTTGCCTCCTAAGAATGTTTAAAGAGCCTTTGCGTGGCCTGCACGACATGCTCTTGGAACATTTCTGGAACATTTCTGGCTGAGACTCTCCTGCTTTAGCGCATCGGGCTCATGTTCTAAGAGCGTGGCTTTTGTTTCTGGCGTTTCTGGAACACGTCTGAGTTCTAGGAACATGTCGTGGTAGGTTTCAACGGATGCTGGGACGGTCGGTCCCTGATCAAAAGGACCACCCGTTCGGGTTCTACGCCAAGTACGCGCCAAACGAGGACCGGGGATCTTAATCGAACCCCATCCATGCCCGGTCGACTGACGAATCGCTCCCCCCCCGCCCTCGGTGTTCGAGAGGGGGTGCCGCGGCCGCAGTGTTTGTGGCGGATGGGCGCCTTCTGGGTGTGGTTCCGGGCCCCTGTCGCAAGAGGTTGTCTTACGGAAGGCGAGCCCTTTTTCCTGCCTGCCTTCCCCTGCCCGTTTTCCCAAATTTGCCCCGCCCATGTCCCAGCGCAGCCTGACTGCAACTCGGACCCGAGGCGCCGCCGACCAAACAAGCTGTGCCTAGGGAGGCTCTGCCCACCCCCGAGAGGACTCGAGTAGTGGATCGACTGCAGATTGGATCTACCTCGCAATGAATTTGTCAGTCGAATCTGCGGAAAGTGCAAAGGTTGTTCCGTTGACCTACCAAGATGCCATTTATTTTCTGGTAGATTCGACGAGGAAATCAAGTTTGGGGTAAATCAAGTATGCAGTCAATCCCCAACTCGAAGGACGGGAAGGGCCAGAACGTCTTCAAGTGGAACTGCGGCATCCCCGGCCGCGCCAAGGGGCCCTGGGAGGGTGCCGCCTACGCCCTGACCATGGAGTTCACCGAGGACTACCCGAGCAAGCCGCCAAAGTGCAAGTTCATGCAGATAAACGGGAAGCCGCTGTTCCACCCGAACATCTACCCGTCAGGCACCGTCTGTTTGAGCATCCTGAACGAGGACGAGGACTGGAAGCCCGCCATCACGATCCGGCAGATCCTCTTGGGGATCCAGGATTTGCTCGACAACCCCAACGCGGCCTCTCCGGCCCAAGAGGAGCCCTACCGCATGTTCTCCACCGACAAGGCCGAGTACCTCCGCAGAGTGAAGCTGCAGGTGAGCGACGCAGCAAAACGGGCCCGACTGCGCGGCCATTCGCGCGTAAGCTGCCCGCGTGAGGTCGCACGTGGGCGTCCTCGTTTCCACTGTGGCGTTCCGCGCTGGCGGGCTGCGAAAGCCGCGGCTTAAGGTCTGTGTGCCATCTCGCGCAAGTCAGAGGAGCAAGAGATCATGATAACGATAATGATGCTTTTCCAGATTTCCAAGTACTCCAGGGTTTCCCACACTTCCCCAATGTTCCACACCGGCTGCGTCTAGGAGTCCTGGACCGTACCCTGAGCCAACCTTATCATGACGACATTCTTGTCCTGGTAAGACCCGTTTCTGTAAGGCCCGTTCCCAGACATCCTCCGACACGATTTTCTCAATTCGCGGCCCCAGAGCTCAGGACTCCTTCCCGGATGTTAGTTTTGCATCCCAGATCCATTTTTGATTGTCCCGGGCCCGATGACAGACACCCCGAGGCCGAAATCCAGGAAAAACGCTCGGACTGAACAAAAAAACGTGTCGTCGGAGATCTGGACGCTTTTTTTCGTCGCATAGGTGGCCGAGGTGGCTGCCATGCAAGCGAAGTGAGCGCCGGATTTGCGCGGCGCACAGGGCTGGACAAGCCTTTTTGGGACAATTGAGCGCCCAGCAAGGCGCTGCGGGGATGCCTGCCAGGCAGGCGGGGGAGGAAGCTGGCCTACCCTTGCCTGCCGGCTTCTACTCAGACGTCCGGCTGCTCCAATTTGATTGGATGCGTGGGCCCCAGTTTCTGGACCACTTCTCTAGGGCCTGTTTTCTGTCTCGAGTCGGCGCGAGCCCTCATCGGCCGAAAACTGTTAAATCCGCCCGCTCCAATCTCTGTTGGAGCGTCGAACCTCTGGGCTCTCGGGAGAGCGTTTTCTTTCCCCCCCAGCGTAACGCATGTTAACCAGGCCAACCCCCCCTGGGTAACGCTGACACTTGTACTGAGCGGGGTAGCTTGGACCCCCCCCCTGCGTGCTATGAGGCGGACCCCCCGCAGATATGGCGCTGCGCTCACAGGCATGGCGGGGTGCTGCCTGGTTTCGTGCTCGCCCATGTGTTGTGGCGCTCGCAGACGTCGCACCTGTCGCGGCGCCAAGCTCGCAGGCACGGCGTGGTGCTGAAAGGCATGTCTCCGAGCTCACGTGCGTGTTGTGGCGCTTGCAGGCTATTGCGGTGCGCGTAGGTCAGGCAGACTCGCTGCTGCGGCGAGCCCGGCAAAGAGGCGAGGAGGAGGAGGAGGAGGAGAAAGACCAAGAGCAGGTGGAGGAGGAGAGGAAGGTGGGGTCGGCCGTTTCCGGTCGGTGCCTTACGGTTTGGGCGGCGGCGGCGGGACGATGTGGAAGAGGAGATGGAGGAGGAGGAGCAGGAGGAAGAGGAGTTGTAGGAAGACGAGATGATTGACGAGTGCTGAGGGCCTCCAGGGTCTTTCTGCGAGCCCCGCAAAGAGGCCTCGCAAGCTACTAATGTGCTCGCTGGCATGTTTGGCGTTCTGGTGTACACAGGCGATGTAGTGCACGGAGGCATTGTGGCGTGAACAGGCGCTGCGGTACACATGGTTGTTGTGGTCTAAACAGGCGCTGTGGTGTACACAAGCGCTCCGGTGCACTCAGGCAACGTGGTGTACACAGGCACTGTTGCGCACACAGCTGCAGCCGTTTGCATGGGCACTGCGGTGTACATATGCGACGTGGTGCTGCGGTGCATGCGGCTGTTGTGGTGCACGGAGGCAGTGTGGTGTACACAGGCGGCGCTGTGTTGCACGCAGGCGTTGGGCATTGTCGTGTACGCAGGGACTGCTGGCGCACACGGGCGATTGATGCGCCCGTGGCGCGGACGCAGCCTGGCGGGCGCACGCCGCGGCCGACGTTCCCGTTACTTTCGCGCCCGACACCCCGACACCCCCTGGGTAACGGCCGTTCCCCAGCCCCCAGACGTCGTGCTTTTTTCGCGACGTGACCCCCAGGAACCTGGACCCCTTCCCAGGGACCGGTTTTTCATCCTGGGTCAGTTTTTGACAGTCCTGAGGCCCAGCGAGGGCCCCTGGAGGCCGAACAAAGCGAAAAACATCCCGTCATGTTTTTTTTGTTCCAGAACGCAAAGGGGGTCTGGGTACCCAGGAGGGACAAAAAACAACGCTGACCAGTTCTTCAAGAGCTACCCGAGAATAGGAGCAAGCCGAGCGCAGGGGCCCCTGGCGCCCGGCGGCCCTGCTCCAAGGGCAGCACGAGCCCTGCGAAGAGCTTCGAAGGCCCGCCACTGCCCGCGGGCCTGCCCGCGCCCGCGGCAGCCCAGGGAGTGAGTCTGCCGGCAGCGGGGGAGCTGCCGCAGATCGAGGAAGGAAAAACATCTCAAGCAGCGGCGAAGCGTCCTGCAGCATGGCTTGCCTATAGGCCCACCGAAGAATGTTCTAACAACCTTTTGTGTTCTGCAAGGCATGTTCTTAGAATACTTCTGGCTGAGACGGCCTTGTGTTAACTCATCGGGTTTATGTTATATGAACCTTGTTATTGGTATTAAATCAATTTGGGATTCTAAGACAAGTGCGTGGTAGGTCTATAGGTATGCCGGGACGGTCGGTCCATGCTCAATAATCGGGACGATCGAGATGGGTATTCACTGGGATGGGCGCGGGGGGGTGCTAAGGGGATAGAGGGGGTGATCAGCAGGTGCCAAGGTGGGTGATATCTGGCCTAGCCTAGCTCATTAGTGGGTTGCCAATGCCCCAAGTGGCTTGGGGGGGATAGCGATCCAGGCCAAGAGGGCTCCGCCCACTTAGCGGAGTTGTCTAATCCCCTGAGCCACATTGGAGCATGTGGAACCCACTGATAAGCCAGGTTAGGCCAGGTATAACCCACGTTCGCATCCACTGATAACCCTCCTAGCAGCTCGGCAACCCCCGCACCCATCCCAGCAGAGGAGGAAGAGGTACCCATCCCGCTACCCTTCGCCCGCTTTCCCCTTTTTAGGCCTCCTGGGCGGCCCTCGTCGCCAACGCTAGGTTCGCCTCGAAGTCCTTGTCAGAACGCACCCGGGGTTGTGGTCCGGGGAGTAGTGGTATTGGTACGGTGTAGTTTCCCCAGGTAGGGAAATTGTGGGAACAAAGACTGGCAGCATTCCCTGAGCATTTTGAATAGGACTCATTGTCGGTGTCGGTGCGGACGTTGTCCAGTTGAGATAGAAGTCCGCGTGCCCAACATCGGCCGCTGTCGGTTTGGGACCATATTTGTTGTTGGGCATCGTGCCCACTTCTTCCGTACCCACCTCGGGCGTTCCCAAAAAATGGATCAGGGAAACGTGAGACTCGAGTTCGCTTGAACTCGGGTTTGTTGGCGCTCTTTGACGGGCCCGTCCTGTGTTTTGACGGGCCGGTCTTCGTGGGATGTTTGCAGCGGAGGCTCGCGTCAAATTTCAGACTGGGCTTCGTCATTTCCTGACTGCCCTGTCAGCCCAACCCGAGTTCCCCGAACCCCAGTCTCGCGTGCCCCCGAGCGGCACAAACATTCGGAACGGCGCTGGGCCCCCCCGGCGGCGCCTCCCGCGCCACCCCTGGCTCGCCCCCCGCGCGCAAGGCAGGAGGGGCCCGGCGCCGATGCAGGACTCCTCCGCACAGATCTCCGAACGTTATTGCCTGTGTGCAATGTTTGTTCTTCCTCGGTTGGAATACCAGTCGGCTGAGGGGGCGGGTCGGGGGTCCAAAGATGCGGCCCTGAGGGGTGGGGTTAAGTCGGGCGTGTCCCTCTACAGGTGGAATATCCAAAAATAATCAAAGAATGGTCGGGGGACGGATGTTCTACCATTTCTCCATATTGTTGCGGATGTTTTGAGTATTTGATCGTTTTCGCCCACAACCCGCCTGTAGGAGGACATGCCCGACCGAAGGGTGGGGCCCTGACGATGCGGCGGGCTCGCGCCGTGTCGCCAGGGCAGCCCGAGGGGTACACGGGGGCCTTGCGGGCACGGCGGGACGCGGCGGCGAATCTCGGCGCGGACGGCCAAGGCCGAGCGCCGCCGGTGGCCGGGAAAATGGGCCGACATCGAGTGATCGGGGCTATCGTCAAGTCGGGCGTGTCCCTCTACAGGAGGAATGTAAGATAGTTAAACAATAGTCTGGGAACGATTGGTCTATTCTTTTTTTGCTGTATATTTGGGGTATTTTCAAATTTGTTACCTAACAGCGAAGACTGATAGGTTTCGGGCTCAAAAGAGAGCATCTTGACTCCCCAGGGGGGTCTGGGCGGGTGCCGGGAGAAGCCGGGGAACCCGGGGACCCCCCAGGACGCTTATCGATTCCTATAGTTTCCTATGGATTCCTACTCTTCGTGTTCCCAGAACACAATTCCCATTTTGAATGCCCGGAGCCAACTGTAGGCCACGTCGTGTTCTTCGTGTTCCCAGAACACCATTCCCAGGCCACATTTTGAATGCCCAGAGCCAACTGTAGGCCACTTCGTGTTTTTCGTGTTCGCAGAACACCATTCCCAGGCCACATTTTGAATGCTCGGAGCCAACCGTAGGCCACTTCGTGTTCTTCGTGTTCCCAGAACACCATTCCTGTACCATATTTTGATTGCCCGGAGCCCGCTGTGGGCCACTTCGTGATCTTCGTGTTCCCAGAACACCAGTCCTGTGCCATATTTTGAATGCCCGAGCTGAGGCAGGCTGAGGCCGAGGCAGGCTGAGGCCGAGGCAGGCTGAGGCTGAGGCAGAGGCACGCCGAGGCAGGTTGAGGCTGAGGCTGAGGCAGGCTGAGGCTGAGGCAGGCTGAGGCTGAGGCTGACGCAGGCTGAGGCCGAGGCAGGCTGAGGCTGAGCTGAGACAGGCTGAGGCTGAGGCAGGCTGAGACTGAGGCTGAGGCAGGCTGAGGTTGAGGCTGAGGCTGATGCAGGCTGAGGCTGAGAGGCTGACGCTGAGGCTGAGGCAGGCTGAGGCTGAGGCTGAGGCCGAAGCTGGCTGAGGCTGAGGCTAAGGCAAACCGAGGCAGGGTGAGGCTGAGGCTGAAGCTCAGGCAGGCTGAGGCTGAGGCTGTGGCTGAGGCTGAGGCAAGCTGCGGCTGAGGCAGGCTGAGGCTGACGCTGATGCAGGCTGAGGCTGATGCAGGCTGAGGCTGAGGCTGAGGCTGAGGCAGGCTGAGGCTGAGGCTGAGGCCGAGGCAGGCTGAGGCTGAGGCCGAGGCAAGCCGAGGCAGGCTGAGGCTGAGGCTGAGGCTGATGCTAAGGCAGGCTGAGGCTGAGACATGCTGAGGCTGAGGCTGAGGCTGAGGCTGAGGCTGAGGCTGAGGCAGGCTGAGGCTGAGGCAGTGGCATGCTCAGGTAGGAATCCTTAGGATTCCCTGTGAATCCTTAGGAATCCCTAGGAATCCCTAGGAATCAGGATTCCTAAGGATTCCGAAGGTTTCCTAAGGATTCTTATGGATTCCTAAGGATGCCTAAGGATGCCTTAGGAATCCCTAGGAATCCTTAGGATTCCATTGGATGCTAAGGCCGTTGCCACTGCGACTGTCATTGCGAATGCGACTGCGAATGCGAGAACAGCAGAATTCTACAACTGGATTCTCACCTGAATATTAAGGGGAATGCTTCCAGATATGCTTATCCACATCGCTGTTAGGTTGCTTTGTCGGGATACTCATCCAACATCTGTCTGTGAGAGGACATGCCCGACCTAAGGCTATCGGAAGGCCGCGACCGTTCAAGCTTGGCCGATCCACGCGGCGTCAGGAATCCATGCCGCGGTCGTCACGGCACGAACCTGCCGTGCAGTTGAAGTTGATTAGCTGGTCGGCCCTGCCAGATTCAGGAGATACCCTCGTGTCTTGGGCTTGGCGGCCCATGCCCTCTACACTCCCATGGAAACCTGGCCCTCCGAAGGGTCTTGTGTCCTATTGCGCGTCCTCCCGAATCAACCTCGACTGTAGCGGATCGAAGAACAACTGCATACACAAAGTCTTTCGGCGCGCCGCGCGGATTTCTTGGTTCCGCGCTGGGCCCCCCTGGCGGCGCCTCCTGCGCCGCCCATGGCGCGCTCCGCGCGCCAGGGAGCAGGGCCCAGCGCAGTTCCAAGAGATCCGCGCGGAGCGCCAAAAGTTCATGCTTATGCAATGTTTGCTCCTCTTCTGCCCCTTTCGCGCGTCCTCCCAGGTGAACCTCGATTGTAGCATTCAGTCGGGCATGCCCCTCTACAGGAGGAATATTCCGAAACAGTAAAAAATAGTCTGGGGAGATGTTTCTACTATTTTTGGTCACTTTGGGGGCATGCTCTGACTATTCTTCATTTTTCACCCAAAAGCCGCCTGAAACGGGGACATGCCCGACCTAACTGCAGCCGAGGGACCCAAAGGGCAGCCGTCCTCCGGGCCCCCTCCCTCAGGGCCCCTTCTCTTGGCCCGCCGAGCGGGGGCGGGCGCACTGCTCCAGAGCACAGCGGAGGCGGCGAGCGTGTGAAAAAGAAGCGAGGGCGGGTGCGGGGCCAGGTTGGAGGCAATGTCAGGGGGGAATCGACCCAAACCCCCTCGCGGTGTGACAATAATCACGAGGGGAGGTTTTTCGCTATTCTCGGCATCCAGAGGCCCGCGCCAGGCCTCGGAACTGTCAAAAAACGACTCTGGATGAAAAACTGGTCCCTGGCAAGAGGTCCAGGTTCCTGGGGGTCGCTTCATGACAAATCACGACGTCGGGGGTCTGGGAATTCAGGGTGTACGAAGCTTCGAGGTTGAAGGTCGAAGGTTTTCGGACGGTCTTGCCGGTTCCATGTGGTTTTCCATCCTCAGGATACTATTTTCCAGCGGCTGCAACTCGCCGAGAGCGTTCTGGGAGTGCCAGGTTCGTCCCGAACGGACGCCGGAAGCATAATTTATGACGCGACAACCACCAGAGGCCTGATAGCCCACCCGCCCAGGAGTGTTCGGATGCGCCATCGGGGGCTCATCGCCGATCTATCGGCGATACATCGCCAACTTCAGATCTTGCTCGCCAGGCAGCTGGCTGACACCGATTTGCCATGGGCGATGGCTGTCCAGCGCCGATCCGAGGGATCCTGGCGGACCTCCAACAATTCGTGCTTACAGTGAGTTTTCTCCGTGTGCGGGAGCGCCCGCGAGTTGGTCAAGTGCGAAGCGTAGGGTGCCCTCGTGTTCTTCACGTGTGGGCGCTCCACCTGGTCTCGGACGTGTGCATTTTTTCTCGGCAAGGACCCTCGAGGAGCATCCTGGAGCATGGAGCAAACAACAGACCCACGCCCGAGAACGGAGCATGCACGGGGAAGGGGCGTCCGAGCGATGGCAGGTTGTGGTGTTGCTCCTTCGACTCCTCCCCGCGGGGCCCTGGTCCCTCGGCGCATGGG